AGGAGGGGGCCCACTTAGTGTAAGGCAAAAAGACACAAGTAGAGCTCATGTTCTTGGGAACCAGCCTTGAGTAGAAATAGCTAAGAGAGAGCATAAGGCCCTGAGTTCAAACCCTAGTACCAACACACACACACACACACACACACACACACACAGACTGTTTATTTATAAAATAGTATCAAGCTGATCTCCAGGAAAAGGAAACAGGCAGTTGTTTTGTGTGTTTGATTTTTTTCTTTTTTTTTAATTTTATGGATTCATGTACTAAGTTCAATAAGCAGATAAGCAATGATATAATAGGCAAATACAAACATTAAAAAGCTTTAAAATTTTTTTGTTTTGGTCAGTTGTGGGGCTTGAACTCTAGGCTTGGGTGCTGTCCCTCAGCTCTTCAGTTCAAAGCAAGCATTCTACCACTGGAGCCACAGCACTTCCCGTTTTCTAGTGGTTTATTGGAGATAAGAGTGTCCCAACCCGCAGGACGTCAACAAGGGTGGTGAACCTAAGCGAGAAGGAATGAAGGGACAAGAGACATGAAGAATGACACAGCAAGACAGGGATTCTGATCAAGCTGAAAATTTTTATTTTTCACACAGGGGTATTTATATGCTTGGAATAAGGAAGCTTTTTCATTGGCCATAGCTGCAGGATGTTTGCATAAGGCAGGATGAAAGGGTCAGATTCCTGACAGTGGTTCTGTACACTCAGCCACAAGATGTTCCAGTGAGATAGTCAAGCCTATCATGTTGAGAGACTCAACTTTTGGATCCCAACATCTCCACCTTTCTTATTTAGAAAATTGGCCATCAATTGTTGGCTGCTCTTTCTAAGGGGGTGACAAAGGCTCTGTTCCTCTAAGGGCCCAGGGTTTTTCTCTGCTCTGGAGCGAGCATCCTCACTCGGGGAGGGGAATTTTACAGGCCTTGGCATGTTTTTTGAGGAGACGGCTTGTGGGTATGCATGCCAACCGTCATGCACCAGAGCTTGCCACTCAGGGGTCTTGGGTTTTGGGATCTTGTGGATCCATCCCCCTGCAGTCTTACCTGCACCCTTGATTTGAGCATATTTTCTTCCTCCCATAGGTGCATCCTCCCCCAAGCGGAGGGGCCTATAGGAGGAGGGGCGAACCTATCACTTATGGCAAGGGCGCAATAGGTCTTGCCCGTTGAATGGTCAGGAGTTATGAATAAGGAGAAGTGTTTTCTAAATAAGAAAAAAGGGGGGGGGCTCCCCACTGGAACAAGCTCATGGCAAAACACTAATTAAAAGCCTGGGGTAAATCCTAGATCTCAATGCCTTGGTCTGCCATATCAAGGCGATGGTAATGAACCTGTATGGGCTTAGAAGCCAAGAGATCAGGCTGTTGTTTAATAAAAGTTACAAGCCTATTTAAAACAATCCTCTGATGTTGGTCTGTACTGTTGCTCAGAGGTAAGCCACTTTGTGTCCACAGTCAACCGTTTGGCTCCAGCTACCAGGGGCCGAATAAAATCCCCCCTTTGCATTCGCAGGGGACACCAAAAAGAGAGGTCATGAGATTTTTTGTAGCTGGAGGGCCAAGGCCACCATATACAAAACCCCTTTAAAAGAAACACTTCAAACAGGAGGGTCCAAGTCTGGAGTTCTAGCTGCATCTGTAAGAGAAAAGGCATCATCCTCAGGGGGAAGGTTTCCAACCCTGGGTTGTGGTAAGCCATTAACCTGTTTTATCAAGCGTTCTAGCAGCCACCTTGGGGCCGATACTAAAAATCCAAATACCCAAGCCCATGTTTATCTGTTTTTTGGGTAGCTTGGATGGGCTCAACGATTCCTTGTCCTGATTTTCCAAGACCCGTACCAGGGACAAAATCCATACAGAGCATTTGATGTGTAACCACAGAATTGGGACTAGCAAGAATAACTTCTATCTGGGTCAAGATATCCCGGCCCCATAGGTTAACAGGGAGGTCAGGAACAACAAAAGGAGTAACAGTTCCCCTATTGCCCTCTTTGTCAGTCCAATTAAGAACCCTGGAGCTTACCAAAGGGGTTTTTGTTGCCCTATGCCTTTAAGGTCAGTTAGGGACTAGGTAAGGGGCCAACTTGGTGGCCAATATTTTTGGGAAATAACTGTGGCATCTGCACCAGTATCCAAAATTCCCTGAAACTCCTGTCCTTCAATTCCCAGGGTGAGGGTGGGTCTTTTTGAGTGATAGGCTGAACCCAATACGCATCAGAAGACCCCAAAGAAGCAGTTCCTCGTGGTGTGGTCTGAGCAGTGGAAGAACCCCCTGAATTTAATGGGAGTAGTACCAATTGTGCAAGCCTAGTTCCAGCTGGAATAACTGCAATCCCATTAATGGCCATGGCCAGAATTTTTATTTCTCCTGTATAATCATTATCAATAATGCCAGGAAGAAACTTGGACACCTTGTAAGGTAGCAGAGGCTCTTCCAAGAATAAGGGCACACATATGAGACGGAGGGGGTCCCAGGGTCCCAGTGGGTATTATTTGAGATCCTTGTATAGAATCTAGTACTGTGTCAGTGGCGGCACAGAGGTCCAGTCCTGCACTGCCTGGGGTTGCCCGCTGGAGGGAGGCAATCGTGGAGAGAGGTGGGGGGGCTTGTGTTGGACCGGGAGTTTGGGAGGGGACAAACCCTATAGCCCCTGGCCTTGTCTTGGGGATAGTTGGGGCCAGGGGCTGGCCCAAGGGAAGTTTCCTGAAACCCACAAGAGAGAATGGGTTGCCCAAGGGCATTTGTTTTGGACCTACATTCGTTGGCCCAATGACGGCCCTTACCACATTTGGAACAGAGTGGCAGGGAGTGGTCTACCTGTAGCTTGGGAAGGCATCGCCCTTGCATTTGTTTGCCTACGGGACATTCACTCACAAAGTGACCAGATTGTTTACAATTAAAGCAAATACACAAGCCCGGGACTGAACTTTGAAATGCCTTGGTAAAGGTAGCACCTATGGTGAGTCCCATGGTGTGAGCGGTTCCTACTCCAGCACAAAGCCTGACGAACTCAAAGAGGTCACCCTTGTTTTTATGTGGCCGGAGGACATCTTGACGTGCTTGGTTAGCATTTTCAAAGGCAAGATGTTTAACAAAGGCACTTTCACTTTCACTAGGCCCAAGAAGCCTTTCTGCAGCCAAGTTAAGCCGCGAGACAAAGTCACTGTAGGGTTCATCTGGCCCCTGTCTAACTTTTGCCAGGGAAGTAGTAGCCAATCCCTTTTGAGGGAGACGCTTCTAAGCATAAAGGCCAGCGTTTTGAATTTGTGCCAAAAGTCCAGCAGGAATGCATGCCTGTTCAGCATTGGTATCAAAGGGCGCATAACTCAAAAGTTTAGTATAGGTCCAGGTTTTTGAAGATGTTTTAGCCAAATTTTTTTGCGCGGTCTCTCTACATCATTCCTTAAAGTCCGCATTCCACATCTGGTTGAACCACTACTAAATAACCCCACGCTGCTGATCACAAATATGGTATATAACATGTGAACACTGTTATATATTACAGACTGTGATAGACAATTTGCTCCAGGAAAGTTAGAATGAACTTGTGACTTAGAAATTATGTAATCACTTAATCACAATCAAAAAAAAAAAAGAACCTCGGGGAAGGGAGGGAGGGAGGGGATGGTAGGGGGAAAACAATGGAGGGGGTAACAGTGTTCAAGAGGAAGTGTACTCATTACCTCACTCATGTAACTGTAACCCTCTGTATAGTATCTTTACAATAAAAAAATGTCAAAAAAAAAGATAGGCTAGTAAATGTGAAAGGGAGGAACTTCATTTTTTAATTTAATTAATTTAAATTTAAATCTAGGTCTCTATGTGTGGCTAGTGGCTACCAAGTTGGACAGCACAGATCTAGAATAAGAACTTGCTCCCAGGTGACAAGTCTTCACAAGAGAATGTGACACAGAGGGGCAATGAGGGAATAGGGTTCTAATGGACCACCACTAAAGTATTTTCTGAGTCCTTTATATCATAACTGATTATGAAAAAGAAATAAAAGACATCAAATAACAAGTTTAGAAAACTGTTGCTAGTCAGTAATGAATAACCAGAAACATGAAACTCTATCATGCAGAGATAACAGAGTCAGACTTACAGGAGCCTAGCAGGTCATGGCTCCTCAGATATGTCTAGAAAGAGCTGGGTAACTTACTGGAGCAGTCACCAATAGGAAACACAGTAACAGACTAGAACATTCCCATGACAAATTCACTCTCCAAATGTGTGAGATATTGTATCCTATTTTTTTAATTGTGCTTAGCATCATAGTTCTGTTTTCAACATGGCAACCAGAAGACTTCATTTTCCCAATGCTGACTTATCATCATGTCTGGCCTGTGGGAGATAATCAGTAAATAAAAGGGGGGGAAAAAGTCCGCATTCCATAAAACAAAATCACCCCTACTAAGGGTGGCGCGGGCCAGGAACTTCCAATCATTAGGGGTGAGCCAGCGCGCACTTTGATTTTCTAACAAGGCTAATGTATAAGGGGCAGTCAGGCCATATTGGGCACATGCATTTTTAAGCTTTTCAACAAACCAAAGGCTAAGCCTCTTATACTCTTGTTAGCCTTTTCCCTGAGCGGGTAGTTCCTCTTTATCCCAGTATCCTGTTCCTCATCCTCCTTTTCCTCCTCTTCTGATTTGTCATCCCCACCCTCTGAGATCCTATCTGTCTGGCTCCGAGTTACTGGGAAGGCGAGGACTGATTGATGGCATGATCTAACCTTAATTTTATTAGGCAGTTTTGGCCAAGGCCAAGGCCAGTGTGTGGAGTTCATAATCAAGGGACCGCAGTTCTTTTAAAAGTTGAAGGTGTTCTCGCCTATGTTGAAGGGACTCGCGTAAAGGGGCCAGGTTAGGTAAAGGGGGGAGAGAAAAAACATCTGGATCTGGAGAGACAGTGGGCCCTTGAAGGGCCGGGCCACAAAAGGAAGGGGGCGCATAGGAGGGGAGTGGAATATTTGGGGTAGGTTTAGTCTCAGGTAGGGGGTGACTAAGTAAGGGGGGGCCAATCAGGCTGATGATATTGGGCTGCCTCCTCTTCCAGGGTGGCCTCGTCCTCGGGACTTAAATTATCCTGAGGGGAACGGGCAGCCTGGAGTACAGGATAAAAATGTTCATCTACCTTTTGAGAGGGAGTTTCAAGAGATTTTAGGGAGGTTTTAGATTCTTGAACAGGATTTTCAGTAAATTGACCAGAAGGCATATCTAATACAACCGATGGGCAAGCCGAGGGGGGCTGAGAGGCATGTTGGAGAACCTCCTCTCCCGTTTTTACAAGTTTTAAAATTCCATTATCAAATAGAGAACATTTTAAATTTTCATTAATCAAATTCCAATAGGAAAAGGCGGTAGCAGGAACCTTTTCCGGACCAAAGGTTTCATAATAATCTTTTAAACAATCTCCTACACTTTGCCATCTTTTTGCGTCTATGGTTCCTTCAAGGGGGAACCAAGGACACAAGTACTCTATGCACGAGAAAAATTCTAAATCCTTTTTCTTAACCCGCGTTCCCCATGTCTTGAAGGCCTCCTTGAGGTCTGACAGAAATAGAACATGTAACGATATTGCTTGTCCCATGGTAGGTCACTCACCGTGCCTCGTCCTCACTCTCCTCCTGGATCTGTCTCTCGGCGGGGTCTGTCGAGGCGATCTCGGACTGTACTTGGCCAAGTTTTCCCGGAGGACGATGTTCCTTCCTTAGTCAGAGGCTCATGCCCCACGTTGGGCGCCAGTTGTCCTGACCCGCAGGACGTCAACGAGGGCAATGAACCTAAGCGAGAAGGAATGAAGGGACAAGAGACACGAAGAATGACAGCAAGACAGGGGTTCTGATCAAGCTGCGAATTTTTATTTTTCACACAGGGTTATTTATATGCTTGGAATAAGGAAGCTTTTTCATTGGCCGTAGCAGCTGCAGGATGTTTGCATAGGGCAGGGTGAAAAGGTAGTCATTCGCAGCTGCAGGATGTTTGCATAAGGCAGAATGATAGGGTCGGATTCCCGAGAGTGGTTCTGTAAACTCAGCCTCAAGATGTTCCAGTGAGATAATCAAGCCTATCATGTTGAGAGACTCCTTTTTGGCTCCCGACAGGAGTTCTTATATGCTTGAAGGGTACTGGGGTTAGGGAAGGATCTTCTACAATGCATACATTCATAACATTGTTTGAGAGTCAGTTTCTTCATATAAAGGAGTATCCACATTGTTTGGCTGCAAATGGATTTTTCTCATTGTGCATTCTATAACTGGTTTGCCTCTGATGGAATTTCCTACAGGCCCTCCCACATTCTTTATCTTTATTCCTGATACTCAAAGGTTGTCTGTCCTGTGTGAGTTCTGAAATGCATACCCATGTGTAAATGAGCAAGGATGGTTTCTCTACACACATGGGCTTTGAAGGGTGCTACTTAAGGTAGAGTTTTCTTATTCTGGCGGAAGGCTTCTTCACATTGACTACCTTACTCATGTTTATAGAGTCTCTCTAAAAATTGAATTCTGTAAACAACCCACACACAATCAAAATGATAACTTTTTTTTGAAGCATTAAACCATTAAAAAGTATCTCCAGTGCCTTCCTTGGTTTCTCCACATGCTCCTAATAGAGGCATATTTCAGATGTCTGTGTTTTAAGAAAATTTTCTAAGATTAAACCAATTTCTATCTGTATGATTTGTATGATCTGCTTGGTTTCAAAATTTTCTGCCGATCTACAATATTTGAAAAAACAGTATTATCGTTGATTAGTGCAGTTACCTTAGTTTTTCCCTGGGATTTCTGTAGTTAACTTCAGTATTTTCTCTTTCCTGCTTCTTTTCTAAAATACAAACTTATTAAACATCGATTCCTTCAACACTACAGAAATAATATTAAGACTTCAACTATAACATGCATAATGTAAACATGATATATTCACATTGATATATTCACCCAATGTTCCATTTTTCATTCCAAATTCTTCGATATCAATAAAGGACATGAACAGTCCCCAGGAGAAATAAAGGAATATTTACCTATAGAGACCAGGTTCCTTAAGATTTCCACCATCACATTTCTGTAGAGCTTCTTTTGGGAAAGATTTAGCAAAGTCCATTCTTCCAGTGTAAAATTTATGGCCACATCCTTGAATTTTACAGTCTCCTAATATATTCATATATAATTCCAAAAAGAAGAGTTAATGTCACAGCATTTCATTTTTTTCTGGTGAAGATAATTTATTTCTCATAAAAATACAATTGTATAATGTTCTTAAGGAAAAGTCCTTCAATCCCTCATATACTATGTGGCTTCATCATTGTCATCCTTTCGAGAACAAAAGAAGTAACTGATATTACACAGCTGATTTGTGATATACAGCACTTGTATTTTTAAGTTTTATTTGCCTTTAACTAAAGGTTAAGTCCAGTTTAAACCTATACTTTCTGTAATTAGCCAAATAAGATCTATCATAATTCAAAGATGATAGGATAAAATAAAATGCTAATTGGTGACTTGAGTTTTGTCAGTTAGTTGGCAAACAGTGATAGTTACGATTTAGACAGAACAGAGAGATTTCTGACTTCACCTAGGCCCTAGGCCCTAAGCCCTGGCCTGGCTGGTCGCACTCCATGAAATTCTGGCAGGTCTCTGGGGTGCATACTAGCCTTCCCACTTCCCTGCCTTTCTCTGTGGGGCAGAGTAGGGGCTGTGCTCAGTGGATGAGCAGGGGCACCACCTCATATGTCCTGCCCAGAGAGAGGAAGGGAGAAGTTGGGGAGGGAGGGAGGGAAGAAGGCGAAGAGACAAAGGGGAGGCAGGTCCCATGGCTTCAATTAAAGAGAACACATGCTTCCAGGCTGCCGTTCCCAAGGCAATCAGAATTCCCTTTTCAAGCCCAGGAGATTCTCTTGGTCTGATCAGGTCCAAAATACCAAGTCATATAAAAGTCAAATAAATCGTGCCCCGGGCACAGGGACCACCAGACAGGGGCTCCTCGACTCTCACTTTGGAATGTTTGCTTTGAAATGACTCCAGCCCATCAAAAGGCAGTAAATCCAGCACAGAGTTAGGAACAAAAGAGACCAGGGAGTTGAGTTGACCGGTGGACAATCCGAAGCCACCTTTAAGTCTGAGGCCGCGTCCTTGAGCTCGGTCAGCCAACTCCACTCTGTTTCCAGCATGGCCCTAGGAAGACATGAATCACCTGGGAACTCAATGCAGAAACTGGACCAGCTGGCCGCGCTCACCCGAGCACAGACGGTGCACAGGCCAGGCCTGAGTCTGCTTCTTCTAGTGCCTGCAGGAGGGGAGGGGAGGGGAGAGGAGAGGAAGAAAGGAGAGGAGAGGGAAGAGGAGAACCCAGCTGAAGCAGTCTTCATTAGGGTGACAGAATGTGGCAGCCAGAGGGGAAGGACAGGGCACCGGTGACAATCACAGGAATGAAGCCTCCTGGGCCTGCATGGGCAGACCCATGGCCGCCATCACTGGCTTGGAGGATGGGAACTGAGCACAACCATGCCTGCCCAGCCCCTGCCTGCCTCACCACCCTGCCCCCCCTCCTCCTCTTCCCTCCCTCCCCCGCCTCAAATGTGGGGCAGAGGGGGAGGGGGAGTGTAGTTGTGGAGATGGGAGGGAAGGGATGGTAGGGGAAAAACAAAGGAGGAGGCAACAATGCCTGATAAGAAATGTTTTTCGACTTCTACATCTCATTGTTGCAATGGGTCCACCTGTATCCCTATTTAAACAATTTGTTTTTCCCCTTCCCCTCCACAAATTATACCAACATCAAATACAGTGAAAGCAGGGGTTATACCGTGGGGGAGGGACATACAAAGCAACAAAGAAATCATCTTATAAATACGTTAGAAATAATCACAAGAAAGAAAAACCATTTGAGTCCTTATCTTGGTGTTCATTTTGCCTGACATCAATTTATCTGACCTTTTCTGCTTGTCTCAGACATATACTAGTTATAGCAAATAAGGGAAACCATGGGACCTATGTACAACTTTTTGGGGGGATGGGAAGGGGAAACAAAGGAGGAGGCAACAATGCTTGATAAGAAATGTACTCATTACCTTGCCCATGTAATTGTAACCCCTCTGTATGGTATTTT